GCTTCCAGAGCTTTGCAACATAAAAAGAACAGAAACAAAATAACCACACAAAAAAGTATTCCACCAGCCCTAGAAAATAGATCTAAATATTGCTAGCTTCCTAAAATACCCTCTACTAACTAAGCAGTCCTAGAGCTGAGGTTGTTTCCAACAAAGCCTACTTTATCTCTAAAACCTTCAGGTTCTATTTAATAGTCCCCGTGGCCCATGTTTGTGCGATGAATCGGTACTTTGCTCCTTTCCCACCTAAGGAGAGAAAGGCTAACAACAACATAGTTATTAACTAGTATTTAGTGAATGCTCGTTTAAGTGCTTTAACTGTATTCTCTTATCCCCACAAACTCTGCACACTAAAAACCTGTGGGAAGGCCATTTGGAGAGACAGAATATATAAAAAGGTAACGTGGGGCGAGGGAGAGGGGGAGAATGGGAAGTCGTTTAATGGCTGCAGTTTCCGTTCAAAATGAGGCAAAGTTCTGGCCATGGATAGTGGTGATGGCTGCTCAACCTCCAATGCGTTCCTACCACTGTATCGCACACGTAAAAATGGTAAAGATTGCAAGTTTTGATACGCACGTAACGTATGTTACCACAAGTTTTTTAACAACTTGTGGGGAATCAAAAGCGTGCCCAGCCTTCCCCTCCACCCACAGCGGCTGGTCGGAGCCAAACCGCCTCTCGGCGTCTTTCAGGTGACCGTCATCACGTTGAGTGGGGTCCACGGGGACCAAGACGATGCCTTAAAGCTTTTAAGTCACCTCTGAAAACCAAGCACCCGAGACAGGGCCCCAAACCAACACTCGAAAAGGTGTCGGGAGTTTGGAAGTGGGTGAGCCCACCTAAGCGCGGAAAACCTTCCCCTTTTAAAACGGAAGATGTTTCTATACCCCCCCACCACCCACCGCTCTTTGTTTTCTAAGCGGGACACTGGAAAGTACGTCTGCTCTCGCCACAAATCCCTGCTGCGCACCCAGGAAGCAGGCGAGGGGCTGGGGCCGCGACCGCGCAGCGCGGGGCGAGGGCGGTTCCGAGCGGGGCACTTGCGGCGGAGCGGGGACAACGTGGAAGAGGAGGTGCCCCGAGCAAGCCTCGCGGGCCCGCTGCACACTCGCAGGCCTCGGCTACCGTTCACCCCGGCCCTGCGCGCACACCCCTCCCCTCCCCCACTCCCCAGGTCGGGAAACTGAGACCCGGGCGGCGCGGGGGAGAGGAGAGCAGGCGGAACCACTCGCCCAAGGTCACCTGGACAGCGGGCGGGCCGTGAGAACTCGGGGGCCCGCCGGCTCCGGGGCCCGCGCCATCACTCCCGCCAGCGGAGGCCGGGCCTGAGGCCTGGGAAAGGAGAGCGACCCTCGAGGTGCTCCCGGGCCCGGCCGGCGGCACCCTTCCTGGCCCTGGCCGCCCCCGCCCGCGCCGGGCCCTGCGGGGAAGGCCCGGGCCGAGGCCGCGCGGTAGGTGGGGGGGGGGCGGTAGGCCGCCAACAGACCTAACGGGGCTGCCGCCTACCGCTGCCGACGTATCTGGCCCGGGACGCGGGGGACCGAGAGACACTCACCCCTTCGGGCCCGGGGCCCCGTTGCCGCTCGGCACGCCGGGCGCGCCGCTCTCCTCCTCCATTTTGGGCTCCGTCGCCGCCACCTCGGCCGCTGCTTCGACCCCTGCCGCCATTTTCTCCGCGTCTGGGCTTTGTGTGAGGGAGCGGGATGCGCGGCGCTGCGCCTGCGCGCCCACGTGATCCGACGCGGCCAGTAACGCCTGCGCGCGCCGCAGCCGGCTCCCGCCTCTCGCCGCCCGCCGCGGGCCACGCCCACGACGCGCGCAGGCGCGGCAGCAGCTGTTATTCATTCATCCCGCAAAGCCCTCGCGGCGTACCCGTCGTGAGTGCTCTGCCCGCTCTCAGTTTGGCGGCCCACCCCCGACCCGGTTTTCTGTCAGCGGAGGACCCGGCAGCGCAAGTTGTTTCCAGAATAGAAAGGAGTCAGCAGGGCACGAAGGGCAGGGCCCGGGGACTGGTTTGCACGATGCTGTCTCCGAACAAGGCTCATCTTGCATCACACTTATCTGGGCTCCGCCCAGCCCGCCTCCGCACCACGCTGCGAGCCCCCTGGTGCAGAGCTCATGGCCCAAGTGCCTGCCACTGAATCCATCAACCAACGACAAAATCGCACAGCTGGGGTCTTAATATGCGCGCCTGAATGTTTATTGAGTGAACTTCTTACTCAATAGTGAGAACTTCACTTCTTACTGAGTGAAGAAACAAGTAAGAAGCCAAACGTGATGGCGGAAAGCAGCTTCTAGGAGGTGACATGAACCTTAACTGGGACTCCTTCCTGCCTAACCGTGGGTCTCATTGCCCCGAGGCCTTGGCTCTATCCCCAGACCGGTTTTCAGGGCTGTTACAGGCTGGATGCATTCAGGGACCTGAGGCCCCCTTCCCCAGCAGCTCCTCCTCCTTCTGGCGTCTCTGCAACTTTGAAAGGCTTCACCAGATCTTACTGAAGTTCCCAGCTAACCACCAAACTCTCTCTAGGATCACAGGGCACAGACCACAAGCCCTCCCAGCATGACATTTGGGGCTCTGGGGGACAATTTCACCAGCCAACACCTTCCCAGCCGCTAAATTCTGCCTAGCAATTCCCACCCAGTTTAAGAACTCCAGGCCAAGAGAATAAATCCGGAAGTGCGGCCTGACATGGAGGCGAGGCCCCACCCTCCTTTCCCAGCTCCTTTCCCAAACTCCCCTGGTCACAGAATCGCTGTCCTTCGCAGGCCCCTCTGTGAGGCCCTTCTCCCAGGCCCCTTCTTGAAGTCTCTTCTCTACTAAATCCCCTATACACACCAACCCTTCTCCCGTGGCCCCACTGGACCTATCTCCGTTTACCTGCCTCCCCTTCACACCTGTTCTAGACTGGGAGCTCCCCCACCTTGCGCCTCCCCACCCCAGGGAACTTCACGACCCGCCCCCCAACACGCACACACCGAATTCCCTTGCCCATCAGGGCTTAGAGATGGTGGAAGAGGCCACAGCAGTCAGAATCAGAGAAAAAAGTTCAAATTTAAGACAGCAGGGACAAGAAGCTGTACCTCTGATCCCTTCTCCTGGAGATCGGGGACAAACCAGGCCCTAGGTGGGGAGACAAAGTCCCTTCCAGGCTGGGCTCCAATGAGCTGGTTGACCTAAACCAACACCCACCTTTGCCGTCTCCTGAACTATTATTTCCTTTACACTTAAATTGACACACTTCCTTTTCCTTTAAAGTAGTTTTAAAATATATACAGCACATTTTGAATACTTGCTATCTATAGCTAACTGTAAAAACTAAGAGGATGACGCTATTAAAACACAAATTCAGTACGGCATAGGGAATATAATCAGTAATATTGTAATATCTGTGTATGGTGACAGATGGTAACCACACTTACTGAGGTAAGCATGTTGGAATGTATATCATTGTCACATTACTGTTGTACACCTGAAACCAATATTGTATATACTCTACTTTCACAAATAACAACAAAAGATTCAGTCATGCGCACTGCCAAGGCCTGTGACCCGAAGAGACTTGCTCTCTCTCTGCTAAGGCTAAGGGTCATTAAAGACAGCCAGTGCCAAATTACAACTTTCTCCTGGACGTAATTTAGAGGTATTGGAAGAGATCTGTGAAGGAAATGGCTTTCTCTTCTCATAATGGCATATCCTAGAGCCTCTTTATATCGTCTCTAGGGTTGGCCTGGAAGAGACGGTGCGGGGCCTGGGAAAGTAAGCAGCTGCAGAGGCCAGAATGGGCCTGAGCACCAGCAGAGCTAACCCACTAGGGAACAGCCCTGTTTCTATAGCCCACCAGCTGCCCACCAAACCCCATCCACCTTTCTCACTGCCTCCTTCCTACCCCTCTGCTCCTCCGTTGAACCCATGGATTCTTGAGTCATGAAATCGATGAGTCCTGCAAACTTCCCATGCCTCTAGGCATGGCTTAGCCACCGTTGCCTCTGGGCTTTGCCCTTTGCTGTTCCCTCCACAACCACAGCTGGCTTCCCCTGGCTCTTCTAGTCTGGGGCAGACAGGGTTTTTCTTCCTCTCTGGGTGAGCCACAAACCAGGCAGGGGTTCATGCAGAAAACAAGAACGGCCAGTCACGGTGCGAGACCCATGCGGGATGTGTGATTTTGGGTGAGGGGCCCCACTGCTCTGAGCCTTGGCTGTCTGCAAATGGGGTCAGTGAGAAACTCCACATCCACCTTTCAGGGATGCTCTATTAAATGTGGCCCAATGCAGAGAACCCCCAAACGTAAAAAGCTCAGAAAGTGCTCAAGAAGTGGGAGCCATTATTAGCACCACCAGATTCCTCTTTTCCTGAGTCCTCCTGGAAGGGAAGCAGGAAGATTCAGCCTGGGGCCATGCAGATGGGTGGTCAACCCCCACCACTTCCTAGAGCTGTGGGACCTTAAAGGCTTCCCTGCTCAGGGCCTCCGTCTTCTCATCTGTAAAATGGAGGTGATGGCCATTCCTCCTGCAAAGGACGGTAGTGAGAGCTAGAGGGGATGCCTGTGAAGGCTCAGAACCAGGGGACGCCCCCGCCCCCAGAGGTGTGGACATCAGGTAGCAGTGAGTGTGAAGGGCCTGGTGTGATATCTGCCTCATGGTGGATGCAAAGTAAATGGAAACTGTCCTTCTGGTGTATATTTAAATCATTTATTATATAACCCAGCTCTCTGCTCACCCATTCCAGGGGTGCCCAAGGCTCCGGTGGCTGGCAGCCTAGGCCCAGGCAGTGGGATACAGGCCCAGCACAGGGCAGCTTGGAGAGGGCCCACCCGACGCTCACCCACCCCGGGACCCCCTGGTCAGCTCAGGGGGCCTGTGTGCTGTGGAGAGGCCAGACTCCCAGGCCTAGCCCCTCAGGGGCTGAGCCAGGGTGGCGGCCGCAGGGCGTGTGCAGCAGGAGCCCTGGCTCCGGAAGAGTCGCCTGGTGGAGAAAGAAGACAAAGGCGCAGCGCACGTTTCTGTACAGGAAGTCGGATTATGCATTTTAGTAACCGGCGAGAGAACAGGGGCATCAGGGCAACGGTGCAGGGCAAATAAGAGATCGAGAGCTGGGGTTTGGCGTAAATCTTACAAAGTGTATAAAGAATCTGTGTCTCTCTACGGTAACAAAAAACCAAAGGCTACAGGAGCAGTTGTATATACAAAACATGGAGATATTGCTTCACTTGCAAACAGGTTCCTGACCAGATGAGGGGGACAAGACAGAGGGCAGGGCGGGGGGTGAGAGTGCGCCACGTGCAGAAGGAGTGGGGAGGGAGGGCTCTTCTCCCCGCAGAAATCTACAGGCAGGAGCTGAAGCCATTTGCTCCTCAGAGGTCGCGGTGCTGGCTGTGCGTTGGGGGTGGGCGCCCAGCCCAAAGTGTCCACCTGCCGGGGCTGAGCCGTGTCTTTAGCCTGCAGCCTGCGGGAGGGCTGCGGGTAGGGAGTGGGGACCACTGGGGCCAACCGACCAGGCAGAGAGGAGGCGATCGCTCGCTCCCTGGGGTCTGCAGCAGCAAACTGGAGGGGCCTGCTCGGCGCCCCAGCCTCCTGGACCCTGGGCGGCCCTGCCTGTCCGCCGCTCTCCCCGCTGACGTGCACGCGGGGCTTCTAGCTCCCTGGCGGGACAGCAGGGTCCGCCCCACTCCGCTCTTCCTGGGCCCTGCCAAGCAGCTGGCCTGACAGGGAGCAGGGCCTGTCGCGGAGGGGCAGAGCACCTGGGCCTGGAGGGGCGCGCGGACGGCGGGGCGCGCGCTCACAGGCTCTGGCAGCACTGCAGCTTGCTGGGCCGCTGCGCATCGCTGGTGGGCGGCACACTGATGTCCACCACGTTGTTGCCGGGGGACTCGTCGTGGGCTGCGTGGTCGGCGATCTGCTTCTGTGACACGATGCGGTAGATCTCTGCAACCAGAGGGCGGGGGGTGAGCACACTGCGGACCCAAGGCTGAGTGGAAGGCCTCCTAAAGGCCCCCCATGCCCTGCGTGCCCCCAACCCCACAGGAGAGCGACTGGGGCTGGGGCTGGGCTCCTGGAGGCCCCCACTGCCCACCCAGCGCTGGTTGTGTACCCAGCAAGGGCGGGACCCACATCTGATCACAACTGCACCCCCGCCCGGCCTCAGCTTAAGATCAGAGGCCCCTCCAAGGCCACCTGCCGCCCCAGTGGGCTGTTCTCTGCCGCAGCCATGGCAGGGCCCACCTGCGAGAACTGGGTCAATGGGGTCTCTGGGTCCTGAGTCCCAGCAGGGGCGGGATCTGGGCTGCCCCCCATGGCGCATGCCCTGTCTGTCCTGTCCAGACTGACTAGCATGTTTAAGGAATGAGTTTAGTGGCTGCTTTCTGTGACCGGTGACTTGTGCCCTCCCCGCCTACCCGCAGTGGGCCTGCTGGGTTACCGTGGCCCCGGCTGTTAGGCGGAAGGCATCAGGGTAAGGGGTGAGCCTGCTGGACAAACTCAGGCCTCCCCAAATGAGGCGAAGAGACCAACAGGTCCGGGTCCGCCCACATTCCAGAGCCTAATCAGATAACCCTCCCAACTAGAGTCCTTCCCCCAAGCTAAAGGATTAGTGGTAACCTTCCAGTACCTGGCTAAAGGCCAATAAGAGACCCCCAGTACGCTGGACGAGCCAATCCTCGTGCCAATGCACACCTTTGCCCTCCCCTATACCCCAGTCCCCCTGCCTTCAAACTCTGCATCGATTCCCAAGTTATATCCCCCACTGCCACGGTCGCCCCATCCGTCCCCTCTTTCAAACCCGCCGCCATCTTACTCGCCATGGCTGGCGCCCAGATGGTCTAGCCCTCCTGTAACCGGCTCTAAGTCGCAACGGTCTAAAACTCACGTGATGGCTCCTCTGAGGGAAGTAGCGGGAGCTGAAGGGGTAGTGCAAGTTCATGTTCCTTTTTCTCTGGCAGACTTGTCCCAAGTACAACAGCAATTGGGGTCCTCTTCCTCCAACCCTGCAATGTTCGATAAGCAGTTTAAATACCTCACTCGAGTCTACAAGCTCACCTGGCATGATGTGCATACAGTCTTCCAATCCACTCTAACCCCAGAGGAATATGACCGTGTCACGGCAGCAGCACAGCTCTGTGCCAATGAAGCCCATGCCACAGATGAAGGGGAACCTATGGGTAGGGAAGCTTTTCCTCTACAGGAACCCATGTGGGATTATAATACTCCAGAGGGTGAGGCGTGCCAGGACCACATGATCCGCTACTTATTGGCAGGTATGAACTCAACTGCCCAAAAGGCTATCAATTATGATAAGCTTAGAGAAATTACACAGAAGCCTGACGAGAACCCGTCAGAATTCCTCAAACGCCTAAAAGAAACTCTAGGAGCTTTTACTAAAATTGACCTGGCCTCAGCATTAGGTTCCTCTCTCCTAACCATGCATTTTATAACTCAGTCAGCTCCTGACATCAGGTGCAAGCTTAAAAAGGCTGAGGATGGTCCCCAGACCCCTCTAGGAGACTTGGTAGATACGGCATTTAAAGTTTTTCATGCCTGAGAGGATGAGAGCGAGAGGAGGTCAGCTGCCCGAATGGCGGAACAGACCCGTGCCATCACAGCTGCTCTGCGGCCGGCTCGTGGAGATCGTCAGGGTGTCCCTGAAGATCGACTTGAACCTCCGGGCCCTTGCTTTCAGTGCGGCGAAGAAGGGCACTGGGCACGGCAGTGCCCCAACCAACCCTGCAGACCGACCAGACCGTGCCCCAGCTGTGGCAAGCGAGGTCATTGGAAAGTAGACTGTCCACTCGGGGGTGGTCCTCCTCTGGGGGCAGAGCCCTGCGGGGGGTGGACGCCCTCGAAGGACTATCCTTCAGACCTGCTGGGCATCCTCGAAGACTGAAGACGCCTGGACTCGGACACCCCAATCACCCTCACTGAGCCCAGGGCCAAGCTGTGGGTATCAAGTAAGCCCATCTCCTTCTTGGTGGACACGGGGGCTACCTACTCTGTTCTCCCCTCCTTTAAAGGGCCTTTGAACCCTGCCAAGGTCTCCATAGTTGGGGTCATGGGAACCCTCTCCAAGCCTTTAGAGACAGGTCCAGTGGCCTGCACCTTCCAAGGCATCCCGTTTACCCATTCCTTTCTGGTCACGCCTTCCTGTCCTACCCCTCTGTTAGGACAGGATCTGCTCTATAAGTTAGGAGCCTCTATTTCCCTCCCACCTTTTAAATTCTTACAGGACGCCAGAAACTCCCTTATTGCTTTAGTCTGTGAAGGAGAGTTAGACGACAGGGACCTGAGTCTCCCGACTTCCTGGACTGCTGTCAAACCAGTCATGTGGGACATCTCCACCCCTGTGGGGGCAACCCACCGCACCCCGGTTTTAATACGCCTTAAAGACCCATCTCCCTTCGCTTCTCGGCCTCAATGTCCTATTTCGCTGGCTCACCAAAGGGGACTACAGCCTATGTTAATCGTCTGCTCTCACAGGGGCTCTTAGTACCCACTAACTCTCCATGCAATACTCCCATCTTGCCGGTAAAGAAGCCTTCTGGAGCGTATCGCCACTTTCAGGACCTCCGAATAATTAACGAGGCTGTTATTCCCTTACACCCAGTGGTGCCTAACCCGTATACTCTTCTGTCTCAGGTCCCTTCCGGTACCTCTCATTTTACTGTACTGGACCTTAAAGATGCCTTTTTCACTATACCTCGCCACTCAGACTCGCAGCTGCTATTTGCCTTCACATGGGAAGACCCTGACACCTGTCGGTCTAGACAATTAACCTGGACAGCTCTACCTCAAGGTTTTAGAGATAGCCCCCATCTTTTTGGACAGGCCCTGGTGGAGGACCTCTCACGACATTCAACGGACAAGAGTTCTCTCCTCCAATATGTGGATGATCTTTTACTTTGCAGCCCCTCAAAGGAGGCCTTGGTCCTGGACATCACATACCTTCTTAATTTCCTGGCAGACCTGGGGTACAGGGTATCCTGGCCAAAGCACAGCTGTCTCTACCTCAAGTTACATACCTTGGACTAACTCTAACTCCCACCACCAAAGCCCTGATGGCGGACCGAGTGGTTGCGATTAAAGCTCTCCTGCCACCTACTTCAGGAGCCGAGATACTATCCTTTCTTTTTAGGATTGGTGGGGTTTTTCAGACACTGGGTGCCTAACTTCGCCCTTCTGGCCAGACTGCTTTATGCGGCTGCCACAGAGACTCCTACTGGGCCGCTGACGTCACCCACCGAGGTGGCTTCTGCTTTCAATCAGTTGCGGGATGCATTGCTTTCATCCCCCACCCCCGTTGATGCTCCCTGACTTAACTAAGCCCTTTATCCTGTATACAGCAGAGAGGGCAGGGGTGGCCACCAGAGTGCTGGTACAGCCAGTGGGGCCGGGGTACCATCCCGTTGCCTTTCTCTCCAAACAGTTAGATACTACTGCCAGGGGGTGGCAACCTTGCCTCCGAGCCCTGGCAGCTGCGGGAAGTCTGGCCAGAGAAGCCCTGAAATTAACACTCCAACAGCCCATTACTGTGTATTCCCCACACCAGTTACAGGATCTTCTGAGTCATAAATCCCTGGCCTCCTTGAGTCCTTCAAGGGTACAAGAATTCCATCTTCTGCTCATTGAACATTTACAGGTAACCCTACAAGTCTCTCCACCCCTTAACCTAGCCTCCTTGCTTCCCATTGGCGATCAGGCAGGTCAGCCCACTCATTCCTGTGGAGAAGTTGTAGAGGCTCTTAGGAAACCCATAGAGGGCCTACAGGACATGCCCCTCCAGGACCCTGACTTGACTTTTTTAGTGGATGGAAGCTCGGTGAAGGGGAGTGATGGGGTGCGAAGGGCGGCCTATGCAGTGGTGACTCTGTCACAGGTGATAGAAGCAAACCTACTCCCATCTGGGACCACCTCCCAGAAAGCCGAATTAGTGGCTCTTACCTGAGCATTACAGCTGGCAGCCGGGAAGAGGGCCACAATTTATACTGACTCTAAATATGCCTTCCTCATTACACACACTCATGCTGTGATTTGGAAGGAAAGGAGCTTCCTTACCACTAAGGGAACCCCAATTATCAATGGTAGGGCTATTAGCCGCCTGCTACAGGCCCTACAAGACCCCAAAGAAGTGGCCATCATGCATTGTAAGGGACATCAGACTAGAAAAGATCCAGTAACCAGAGGTAATGCGTTGGCAGATGCCACGGCCCAAAAATTAACATCCGAGTCTGGGCAACCCTCTGTGCTGTTTCTCTCCCCTTCACTATTGCCCTAATACCCCGGTGACGAACAACGACTGCTTCTACATCAAGAGGGATGTTGAGAGATCAGGGATGGATATATCTCGGGGGACGAATTGCCCTCCCCCAAGCCCAAGGCAGGGATGCCATATCCAAAATTCATCAGTTTCTACACATTGGGCCGGAAGCCATGCACCAGTTTCTCTCCCCCATATTTGCCCCTTATGGTCTCCGCAAGGCCATAGATGAGGTGCACCAAGGCTGCACTACTTGTCATCGCGTCTCATCTCAGGGTGCTCTGAAGACCCGGATGGCCTTCCACCAGATGAGAGGAACCATCCCCGGACAGGACTGGCAGGTCGATTTCACCCACATGCCTAAGCATAAAAAGCTCAGGTATTTACTAGTTCTGGTTGATACCTTTTCAGGATGGATTGAAGCCTTCCCCACCAGCCAAGAGACAGCTTCGGTGGTGGCACAGACATTGGTGGCACACATCATCCCCCGCTTTGGCCTGCCTGCCTCGCTACAGTCGGACAACGGGCCTGCTTTCGTCTCTCGGGTCACCCAGCTAACAGCTGAGGCTCTCAAGATCACCTGGAACCTCCATATACCCACCCACCCCCAATCGTCGGGTAAGGTCGAAAGGGCTAACGGTCTCTTAAAAGACCAACTAACTAAGCTGTCTCTTGAGGTAAAGCTCCCGTGGCCCGGTCTTCTCCCCATGGCTCTCGCTCGGCTGCGTGCTGCCCCCCGGGGACTGGCTGGACTAAGCGCATTTGAGCTGATGGATGGCAGGCCCTTCTTACTGAACACAGGCCTGCCCGCTACCTCTTCTCCTCTGGCCTCCTACCCTCCTTACCTTACACTGTTGAGGCATCTTCTTAGGGAACACGCAGACCAGCTTCTACCCCAACCCATGTCATCCCGCAACCCAGGAGACGTAGCGATCCTTCAGCCAGGAGACGAAGTGCTCCTAAGAGAACTCCAGCCAAAATTTCTCCAACCCTGCTGGACAGGGCCTCATACAGTAATCCTCACTACGCCCTCAACAGCCAAACTACACGGGCACTCCTCCTGGTATCACCTTTCTAGGCTCAAACGGGTACCCAGACATGATGAGTGGGTGTCTTATGAGGTGGGTCCTCTTAAGCTATGGGTTAGTCGCGTCAAGTACAGCCAGCCAAATAGATGACCCTATAGTCTCCAGGCAGAGCTATTCAGCATGGGAATTCAGGCTGAACCTAACCCTTCCTCATGGAACTGAGGCCCGAGAAGGAGGCACCCAAAGCTGCCTGCGTGCGGGCTGTCAGGCACCGGTTCAAATACCGATATACACAGACATCTTAAATACCTTCTCAAACCCAACGCTATGCTTCCCTTACGACCAGACCTCTAGTGCATGTACATTCCAGTCCCACATGTATGGAGGATGCCATCCTGAAGCAAACAAATGTAAAGTCCATGCAGTAAAAGATACAGCAAGGGGAACCGATGACAAAATGTTTACCAAGATACAAGATAGGCTATACATTACCGTTAGTGACCCACGGGACCAACGCTGGGAAAAAGGAGTACAGGGCAAGCTGTACGAAAGTGGTCAAGCCTTTCCATGGGGCACGATCGACATCCAAAGAGAGTGGACCACTGTAAACCCCACTCTCACGGAGGTCTTAAACACCCAGGCACGGGTATCAAGTAATATTTTAAAAACAGAACAGGCACTAAAACAGAGGATTCAGTTGGGCCCTACCCCCACTCTCTACGTGCAGCAGGAACACAACTTTCCTGGGCCAGAGTCATGAGAGAAACAGTGCAGTTTCTTAATGCCTCACATACCCTCAGCAATGTGTCTGATTGTTTCCTCTGCGCCTCCCTCCAACACCCCCCCGGGTGGCTGCAGTTCCCATTAGTTTTTTCCAGGCTCAACCAGTAAACTCTGAAAAAGACTGCGGCCTCCCTTTAAACGAGGTACCGATGTGGAAAACAAGCCTTGAGCCCAAAGCTCGGCATAAGTCCGGGGCCACCAGAAAACGGCGCGAAGAGCCATCATCCCGCTATCCTGCTACCTGACCCAGCATTCCACTATCTCAGAATGGCCAATGGGAAGCCAATGCCAACGACGGGTGACCGTAGACACTCCGATCTCCCTTCAAGGGGGCGGATTCTTCTGGTACGACAACACGCTTACCCAGTGCATCAACAGCACCACGGTAGGACCTGCTTTTCGGTAATGCTGGTGCCCCAACCAACTTTGTACAGCAAACCTGAGGTAAGACAGGCACTAGACGAATGGTCTATATATCAAAACACTATAGACAGAAGAGGGCGGTTTTTCTACCGGTGCTGGCAGGAGTGAGTCTAGTTACTGCAGTGGCCAGGGCCGCCACAGGGGCAGGAGCATTAGGCCATAGCTTAGTGAGCTCTCAGGGTCTAGCAAGTCAATTGGCGGCATTAGACGATAGAGCGAGCCTAACCTTGGGAGAAACCAGCGAGCCTAACCTTGGGAGAAACCTCAACCTCCCTTATTTCCCTCCAGCGACAACTTACTGCCCTTGCCCAGGTCACCCTTCAAAATCGGCGGGCCTTAGATCTGCTTATTGCAGAAAAGGGCGGAACCTGTATTCTCCCGCAGGAAGAATGCTGCTACTATATCAATGAGTCTGGGGTCATAGAGCAAAGCATAAAAAAACTGCAAGAATTACAAAAAGACCTCCACAAAAAACGAGTACCTGAAGGCGGCCCTTATGGGTGGCTTCAGTCTCCCATAATGGCCCAGCTAATGCCTCTGCTGGGCCCCTTAATAACAGTTGTGGTTTACTCTTCATCGCCCCTGTTGCTGGCGAGTACTCGCCCCTCCCGACTGAGCCTCCGGCCATCAACCAGCCTTAAACCACACCCCCTCCCCACGACGCCCCTTGTCAGTCGGAAGTAGCCAGATCGAGTCGTCGCCCATTGTGACCAAAAGGCTGGAATGTTAGGCGGAAGGCATCAGGGGAAGGGGTGAGCCTGCTGGACAAGCTCAGGCCTCCCCAAATGAGGTGAAGAAACCAACAGGTCCGGGTCCGCCCACATTCCAGAGCCTAATCAGATAACCCTCCCAACTAGAGCCCTTCCCCCAAGCTAAAGGATTAGTGGTCACCTTCCAGTACCTGCTAAAGGCCAATGAGAGACCCCCACGTACCCTGGACGAGCCAATCCTCGCGCCAATGTACACCTTTGCCCTCCCTCCCCCTGCCTTCTTTAAAAACTTGCCGCCTGCCCTGCTGGGTGTGACTTCCAGACCCACCCGTGGGGCATCGCCCAGGGGTGGCGTTCAAACAAACTGCCTGGCCCTTTGTCGCCTCTGTTCGCCTGCTTGCTTCGGTTGGAATTTATTGGGATTTATCTTACACCGGCCAGGTCCTGGGATCACCTGTGAGGATGTTCTTGAAAGCTCCCTCTACGTTGGTGGAGTCCAAGGCCGAGGTCTCAATGAATGACAAGTTGTTCTTTTCTGGAACAGAGGGGCCCATGCAGACGGGTGGTCAACCCCACCACTTCCTAGAGCTGTGGGACCTTAAAGGCTTCCCTGCTCAGGGCCTCCGTCTTCTCATCTGTAAAATGGAGGTGATGGCCATTTCTCCTGCAAAGGACGGTAGTGAGAGCCAGAGGGGATGCCTGTGAAGGCTCAGAACCAGGGGACGCCACCCCCCCGGAGGTGTGGACATCAGGTAGCAGTGAGTGTGAGGGGCCCGGCGTGCTATCTGCCTCATGGTGGATGCAAAGTAAATGGAAGCTGTCCTTCTGGTGCATATTTATTTTAAACCATTTATTATATAACCCAGCTCTCTGCTCTTCACTGGAAAACAAAGATTTTGCTTCTTTGGGGGTGTTTCGAACAGATCCCTCAAAACCAGCCAAGGGCTTTTCTTCTTTTTTAACCTCTATGTGGTCCCTGACTCCAGGGGGTCCCGGGTCCCTCACTTTGAGGCTTCAGTTCATACATGTACCTGACAAGTCCATTTTGTCCAGCAAGGGTGCCTTTTATTCATCTGGGGTAGGTGTGGCATTCGGAAGCACAGAAGGCAGTTCAGTTGGGAAGGTAATGCCCCAGGAGGGCATCACCAGCTGCCTCTGGCCCTGCTGGGCAGACCTTCACACCGGCATCTCCTCTGCACCTCCTTTCGGAGTCTCCCAGCCAGCTGCGCATGCTCCTTGGTTTTTGAATCTTTATATACACCGTCTGGTGGGTGTTCCTCCACTCCGAGAACAGCTCTCAATGGCAGCAGACCCTGTGCTGGGGACAGTGCAGAGGTGGGAGGGAGGGCCAGCCAGCCGGCCCCCAACCCCACGGGAGGAAAACTGGGCCTCTGTGGCACCCGTTTTAGCCCAAACCAGGACTGGGCACTTACTTCCAGGGGTGGAGAAAGCGTCCAGGCATTTCTCCCACAGGCTGTGCACATACCCCAGCTTTCCCTCCCCTCCCAGGCAGGCTCCCCACGCATGCAGACCCTGCAAAGTGAAGCGGAGCGCCCTGTACCTCCCACACGTGGGAGTGAAGCAGGCGGCCTCTTGCGAGGGATTAAAATGTCAATGGGTCACATAACTCCCCCAGCCTGGAAGCCAGCAAGATGCCCCTCAGTAGGTGACCGGGTAAATAAACTGCCCTGCATCCAGACAATGGGGAGCTGGCACTAAAAGGAAATGAGCTCTCAAGCCATGAAAAGACAAGAAGGAACCTTAAATGCCTATTACTCAGTGAAAGGAACCACTCTGAGAGGTCTACCCACTGTAGGATTCCAACTCCAGGGGGAAGGCAAGACTACTGGCACAGTAAAAGGATCGGTGGCTGCCGGGGCCTCGGGGAGGGAGAGAGAATAGGTGGAGCTCGCTGCATGTTTAGGGCAGTGGAACTACTCCGTGTGACCCCATAATGGTGGCTGGGTGTCTCACAATCTGTCCAAGCCCACAGACAGGGCACCACCAAGAGGGGACCCTAATGTCAACTACGGCTCGTGGCGATGATGCCACGTCAGTGCAGGCTCACCGATGGTGACAAACATGCCAGTCTGCCACGCCGATGGGGGAGGGCCTAGGGGAACCCTGCTCTTCCCGCTCGATTTCTGCTGTGAACCCACAACTGCTCGAATCAGGATGTTTTTTAATCAGTGTCATACTCTTTGACCAAGCAAGTGCCAAGAAGCATTTGCACAGGTGGTGCCCGGAGCACTGGTCATAACAGCCAAAAAAGGCAGGCAAGCAGAACACCCACACTGGACAGAATCCCAGCATCCGTCAAAAGCGATCAGTCAGGTCAACTCAGTGCGCACGCACCATGGCTGCTGGGTGACTGCCTTCCGCGGTAAAGGCCATTAGCAAAGCCGAGCCCGGCAGAGCACACAGCAGCCCTCTGGCCGCACTCTATTTGCATCAGAAAATGTTTATAAGCTAGAAGATGCAACGAAAAATGCTGCTTGGGGGCGGGTGGGTGCCCCCATAGCTGGACAACAGTGGCGATACCTGAGGGGTGAGACTTTGGGGCACCATTTCTCTCTGAGGGAGGGCTCGGATGCCTGCCAGGAGCTGGACCAAGAGCCCCCAGCCCAGCGGCAGTCTCTGCAGTCCCAGTGGCTTCCGTCTCTGCCTGTTCCTCACGCTCTCCCCACTCCCCTGCCCCAGCTGCTTTCAGGGGGCTCATGGGTGGCAGAGCCTGCCCTCAGCACTGGTGACCGGGTGCCCATGTCTGCTCAGAGCAGAGGCTCACACCCGCCTCAGGGCTGCCCTGGCGCCCCCGGCCAGGCTTGGGACCTGGAGCTCCAGGAGCCGCTGGGAATTGCTCCCACCCCACCCAGGGCAGTCAGCAGAGGCAGGCAAGGAGCGCCCCCGGGCCACCACCTAAGCCCCCAGCCTGACTGTCAGGAGC